AGATGGAGGCACTTTACATTCCGTTTGAATCTTATTAAATAATTCTCTAAGAGGTTCTACCATTTCTAACTAAGTTTTTATAGTAAACCGCTGTCAAGCCATCTGTACCTGGTGCTTTCCCTGACTTTAATTGCTTAATTACCTGCAGGATTTCCCCTGAGGTTATTGGTTGGTTCAATTTTTGCCTGTGCTCTTCTCTAACTGAAGGTATTTTCTCTTTGTCTAAATATTTGTCTATGTCTAAACCATTAATTTTATCCCCTTTATACAGTTCTGTAAAAAATTCCCCGAAAGCTTTTTGAATCTCTTCCTGTTGAAACACCTCCTTCCCTTGTTGTATCTTTCTTTTAATAAAGTTCAATTTTATCTCTGCCCTGTGAGATTTGTTTATCTCCTGAGACGGAAGGGTTGACACCTCTAGTCAGATTCTTCAATTCTATAGCCAGGTGATAGCACTATAGCAAATATTACATTAATTTTTACCCATTAATTGCCAGAGAGTAGCACATGATGTGGAGCACTATTTTCTCGCATGGCAAGGTATGCCATGAAAGAAAGGTAATGTCAATAAGAACTACCAGACTGTTCTTCCAGGGGTGAGGGCCAGGTGTGAAGCTCAAGGAAATTTCCAACTTTTATTGTATCATTTTGCATTTTAGAGAAGTCATTTAATTTTGGAGCTGGACTATTTGTTGAAAGATAGAAGTGAAATTGGAAATTAAGAAGAAATGAACATAATGAATCCAAAAACAAAGGCACAGCCTGCTCAGTACCTTGGCCCTTGACTGCTTCAAAACTTGTTGAATTCAATGTTCAATGCGTTTTGAAGCAAAGATCTTGTCCTGTCATTCATATTTCTCCCAGTGCAACAAAGAACTTGCTGTCATCAGCTACCTCTTCCAGCTGAAATAGCGGGTCATGTGGTAAGTCACATGGTACTTATCGGTTTTAGTATTCATTGTGTCTTCCAGAACGAATTACTGACAAGCAACAAGATACCACTGTACTATATTCAGTGGCAATGTATTCTGTCTACATGGCTTCATTCTCAGTCAGGCAAAAAGCTCATTTTTACATTGTGAATTAATGACTAGAAGCCTGTCCTGTAACCAATCAAGAACCAAAGCTCTTTGCCTTCTGCTGCTTTAAACTGAAAAATACTCATTTTCTTCCATCTTCTCCTGATATTGTCCTAAATTCTGTTCTTGGATAGTTAACTCAATAACAGTGAAAGCCAAATGGCAGTAAAAAAAAAAACTATTTGGAGGAGACAGATGTTCATCTACTCTCTAGTGTCTGTAACCTTTAACTGGGCAAAACAGTGCATCACAGGGCAAAATATTTAGAACCAAGGTATTTCAAATAGGCTAACTTACAGAATGTATTCAAAATCAGGGAACCATGACTCCTGTGGAATAAAATTTGTCAAATTTTATAAAACATTTTATGACCTTAAAATAATACAAAGCATTTTATGACATAATACAAAATGTCATAAAACATTTTCTGTGGCCAACTTTTCCATGGGCAAAGTTGGCAGATACACCTCTGAATGTCTCCTTGAATTTTTCAAGCACTTTAGAAGCTCTGCCATGATTGAAGGAATTGAGGAATCTGGTCAGTAGCTCTGAAATGGCGACCCAAGGAGTAGCAGGTTGTCTAGTTAAAACTGAAAGTTTGCTAAAACTGATTTATGCACTTAATGCGATCTCTATGTTATGCATTATTTATGTGATTTGTATAATTGCTTGTAAACTTCATTTTCATCAAAACATATCATTAACTAAATTGCTGCAGAAAATACAACTGTATTTATTTCAGATTCACACAAATGGTGCATATTGAGACAAATGACTTTTTTATCAATTACTTGTACTTTTCTCCATTAATTGTCTTCATTTTGTCCATTGTTTAAAAGACAAGTCTAAACTCAGATTTTTTTTCTGTTACGTCCTAAGTGAACTGAATGCAGTCTAAACTCTATAAAAATAAGGGTTTTACTGTGAGATAGATCTTTCAAAACAGATGACTTTACTCATTTGGGGAAAAAATAATTGCTAGGGCTACATCCCTGTAAAATATATTGTGTTTTACAGCAGGAGAAGGCATATACATACATACATACATACATACATACATACATACATACATACATACATACATACATACATACATACATTAAAATTGGTGCCATCTTCCATATGTGTGGGATAATATGTGTAAAATGTTAAGTAGCACATTTTATGTAGGAAAAGCCATTATGATTTTAGAATTATAATGAGGAACAAGAGTGACTGAGAAGTTTATTTTCTTCTCCTTGGTAAGAAGAAAGGAGGGAAAGAGAGAAAAAGTTGTAAGCAGAAAAGTGGCTGGCAGCTGAACTCAGAAACTGAACTAAAAACTAATGGACTAAAATGTCTCTCTAAGGAGAGTTTTTCCTTGACTGAAGATAATTCCTACAAAAATGATTACTTTCAAGCAAGAATTGTGATCAGGTATATATTGCTGTGGTAGACTGTGATTAATTTCTGTTTATACCTATTCATCTTGAGTACAAGAACCAGAATCATAGATAAAAGCATGTGCCCATTTTTGCTATATAGAAAAATACATATTGCAATAATCTATAGCAACTGGTATCTATATGTTTTTAGTTGGATTAATACCCTAGGAAAATAATCTCAAGATCTTTACAACTATTTGTTTTAACTGAAGAAACAAGCCGATTACAGCTAGAGACAAACATAATGCTATTTTTCTACACATCTACATCTGAAATCATAATCTAACACCAAACATACCTCATACAAAATGATAGAATACAAAATGGGGCCATCCCCAAGACACAAAGATAATTTCTGCATATTCAGGGGACTTCCAAAGCACATTGCTTATACAAAAAACAACAACTTTTAATTAGTGTAATAGATGAGTAAAGTCCACCACTGGGGTCAAGAAAACAAGACTGTTCACAACTTTAAAAGATACAAAAAAATCCACAAATCATTTTCAGAGATTGAATGATATAACAAGCAGCAGCCTGTTGGGGAGAATTTAAAAAATAATGATACAAATACAAAGTTAGTATAAAATTACAAAAGCAATAAAGAGGCATTGTATGTCAAAAGAAAGAGAAAAATGGAAACAACCAGCTACCAACAGGTGGGATACAATAGGTAACCCTCTCAAGCTCAGAGAAGAGTAATTGTTTAAAGTTAGAAATGAACTGGTAGGAAAGATAAATAAGTAGAAGTGAAAGCTATAATTGTAGAACAACAGTTCTACAGATTTGCTAAAGTGAGAAATTGTTCACAGCATGTTTTCCCGAACAGAAGAAACGGCTCGTAACAGTTCCATGAAATAATTAAACATAATTCTTTTTTTAAGTCATGTTCCTCAATCTGTTCAGCATAATACGTACTAGGCAAACATAGAAATGAGACTGAACAATAATTGTCGCTTTATGTCCTGCCACTAGGAATTAAGGATAATCTAATGGAGATTGATACAGAGATAGTTGCAAAACACGTTTTTGTATCCTTCCCTCTTTGCCTTGATAGTCTTATTCACCTAAGTAAAGGATAATCCATTCACAGATTATTATCTTGGGTGATTCAGGGAACTAAATATTTGCATAAAAATGCCTCTTACATGTATGGTACGAATGGTATGAGCATATGTACAGATTTTACATGTGATGTGCATATGAGTGCAGAAGTCAGAGTTTATGTGTTAGGATGGTTATTCTCCCAGCTGCTGCCACATACACTGCCCATGCATAATTTGAGTGGGTGGCCTTACAAACCAGTTAATTAATAAATAAATAATAAATAATACTGCCTCTTTGTTTGCTCAGAGTGGTCTGTAAGGGAACAAGGAGGAAAAAGAATGACCGCAGCATTATGCTCTGTGATAAAGCTTCAGCCTTCTTGCATATGGGCTATGATGTTGCACTCACATACCAAAGAATTGGAGCAGGTATTGTCATAGTATAACATTGCTTGTGTAATTTTGAAAAAGCTCTCAATTTTGAATGCAACTCAGTGGTTGTTCACATTCAGATCAAGTCCAAGACCAAAAAAACCTCCCATAAAACCCACATCACAATCTGAAGAAGGAAGCATTGCCATTTTTAACTCCTGTTCTCCTTTTTAAAGAAATACGTTTAGGATATCGCCGTTACACTTTGGGCGAGAAATATTCTACTTCAAACTCAAAGACTCACCCATGTTATGTAGTAACACATCTTAAAATACAAAGAATCAGGCTGACTACAAAGTAACATAGACATCAAAGAGTTGACAGTTCTTATCGGTAACCTTAATTTAAAAAGTAGATCTCAGTGATCATGGAGAAAATAATAATAAAAGTATTAGATAGATTTTGTTACAATGCATGACCTAGCATTCATAGTTTATTGGGAAAATGAGAGAAAGAAGTGAAGCAGGAAATAGATGTACTGTACAAATTTATTTCTCATTGGCAACAACTGGTCACAAACATTTTTCTTCTTGGCAACAATCCATTGCAAATATAAAACACAGGCATTAAATTGTCAATGCTGAAGAATATCATCCATTCAGTCTGACAAATCATGCCATACAATACCATATTACATAAATTGGAACAGCTCCAATTACTTGCTCAGTAATATTGTAGTTATCATTACGTATTCATTCAAAGCATGTCAGTTTTTAGACTAAATATTTTATGATTATTCCAGTTCTAAGCAAAAGCCCAGGAATCATGGAAGTATAGTCATGGTATGAAGAAAGTTCCATACTTTTTTTTTCAAAGTCAGTGCGGTTTTGTCCAGTAAAGTTAAAACTTCCCAATATTTAGTGAAACCCCTTGGTACAAATACAAGATTTCCATATTGATATTTGATAGTTGATGTTTTTTCTTCCCAAGCCTTTCAACTTCAACTTGCAAATTCTGGTATTTTGTTGCCTTTTCTTTTTGTTTTTTGTCCATTCATTCATGTTCTGCAATTGCTACATCTATGAACCTGTTTTTTTTTCTTTTTAATCATATAATATCTCTCAGTTTATGTTTCAGGTTCTGTGGGGCCTGTGTTTTAAAATCCAACAAGAATTTGGCATCCTTATTATCCAGAAGTTTTTCAGTTATGTTGCCCTAGTAATTTGGGTAGCAGTAAAAGCCCAACTTTTACATAAATTATAATCCATGTGTTTTGCAATTCTGTCATGGCATTGCTTATACTCATTATGGGGAATAATATGATGATGATGGTAATGATGATGATTTTATAGCTGAGAGATTAAGGTATAATTCCATGCTTACTTACCTATAATAAAATTTGAT